AAAACACATCATCATACCACTCACCTTTTAGCACTCTCCTTGCTCACGATGATTGGGTTTCGGGTTCCTTATCACTAGCAAGGACGGGTGGGAGAGGGATGTGCTAGGGGAAGTGGCGGACATTGATCAAAGTACTCGAAACACACAAATAGAGTCCCAGGAATAATGAAGAAAAGAGCCCAGACGGCTCTGGGACATGCCCTTGGATATTCAGACAATCTCCTCACGATCTCGGTCGATATAGTGAAATGCATACACTGCCATTATAATATGACAGCTTGTTCCGCTTAGATTGGTGTGTACTTTAGTCAACCGCGAATGGCTGAACCGTCTCCGTCAGCTGCCTCAATGGTCATCCAGCCTCAGCGGCGTCTAAGAAGGTTTCATCCAGCGAACAAGCACCGATCGGCGTATCCGCAAGTGTGCTTGCAGGCTATCTACACGTGCAGCTGAATGCTTGTTCTTTACCGCGTTGGGGACAACGCCCACGGGTTATTGCCTTACTCCTGTTGCGTGTAATGGATGAGGGCCACTCACTGGTCGATGGCACGTTCCTTATCTAATTGCTTTTCCATACAATAGAGTATACACACGAACGCACACCTCATCCGCGCCTCGGACTCTCTTGAGCCGCCCGGTATTCAAATTGATACCCTCAGTTGACGTTGCTAAGTGCTACAAGTCGGATTGAACCGGCGACGAACATAGCACTGCCTGTCGACGATGTCCCCCACGTCCCTATCAATGACAGATCCGCGACAAGGCAATATGGCAGAGAACACTCCGCAGCTCAGCAGACTCAACAGTCAATAACTTCGCACGCTGGGGTCTCTCAAGCTCAGAGGGTCTACTGACGATTTGCCGCAGTAAGTCTTCCGTTCTAGCGGTTTCTCACCTTGACATAACCCCCCTGAGCACGTTTGCTCTCATTCACGAGCTTTGTGGGCTTCATCATAACTTTCGTTAAGCAGTGTACTCATGCCCCCGTCTGCTACCGTTACCAGATACTGGTGGTTTTCTGCAACAGCCGTACCTCTGATAGCCGCGACACAAGGTCCATTGTCAGACGTCTTGTCTATCGCGGCACTGGTCAACGTCCGGCGCGTGGCTCTCCCCAATGACGGCGAACTGCCAGAAGGAGTGGACCAACTCGGCGTTCCAGTACGAGATCCTCAGTGGTAAGCATGTTAATAAACTATTGGGGGGTGACACACGCGGGTCGCGCCTTCCCTGCACATGTCATCGACTATTCCATACCTACATCGTTATTCTTAACATGTTGTCCCTCTAGAAGACGGCGCGAATGGACTCAACCATCGTCATCTAGGACCCTCTCAGGGCCCGTTGGTGAAAGGTTAGATCGTCGCGAAAGGGAAGACCTCCCAGGCAAAGAAGAGCCGGGCCTTTTGCTACACAGTTTTGCACACCAGTTGTCAGCGGCAATTCCGCGCGTTGCCCGGGACGTCAAGTTGCATCCACCAAAGACATGTTCTTTTGCAGAATGGGCGCACTTTACCAGGTTAATCCGGTACAGCAGTGCGAGGAGCCTCGGCGAGGCTGCGGCAATGGCACGCCGCAAAGAGCACAGTGGCATTGTCGGCAGGCGGGAAGAGGAGAAGCTTGAGGAAATAGAGGCGGCAGCAGCGGCAGCGGAGATGGAGATGAGGATGGAGGAAGAAGAAGTCGTGGACAGCGGCCCCCTCGACCGGAACTGGATTGGCAAGGACAGCTCAATGCTCGCGGGGGTCTCTGAAGCCGAATAGGTGCTTGACCAGCCTTGCGAGAGCCTGGTCCGGTACATGCGATGGCTGTCTCAACGTGCAGGTGTGGCCTTGCGAGCCGGGACTTAGCCCACCTCGCACCTCGCGGCTGAGTTGAGGCTGCTCGTCTGAGTCAAGACAGACAACCCTCGAAGTGCCTTGTCGGATACTTCGGCATCAAGCGGGCGAGGGGCAACTGCGTCATGCAGCTTGAGGAACTGCCCAACATTGCGAACCAACGGAAGGTTTTCGGAATCTCACGATGCCGGGCCGGGTTGCGGAGAGTTCTCCGACAGCAGCAAGCCCTCCCCCTGGGTGCGCCGTCTTCCGGCTTGGCAACACAAAGCCTAACGCTGTCGTCCCAACGTGGCTGCCGTCTCAAAGTCTTACCGTCGCACCGCAAAGGGGTCGTGGTGGGTGCAGTCTGGCGGTTGGTTTCAGAAAGTTGCCCAGGGGCCAGGGAAAGCCCCTTGCCGCAGCGGACGCCACCTTGAGGATCATTCAGTGCACAGTCCATACCTTAAGACACCTTAAAAGCTTGTCTTATGGGGGACCCCGGACAACACGGCATCAGCCTGCTATTGCCCTGTGCATGCAATGGGCATGGGGTTGATCTCTTCTTTTGGACGAACCAGACACTGTCTAGTGTGATATCATCCCGTCAGGAGTCTTGTCGACATGGGAGCTGGTCGGACGACTGTAGCACCGAATCATCGCCAAAACACATCCGGGAGACTGCCGTGCAAAATAACACCATGGTCGATGACTCGTAGTCACTTGGCAAAGCGACTGCTGGTGATGTGGCCATCGAGTGCGCTTCTCCTGTGTAAACCAACGTCAGCGTAGCCTTCATTAGGCATGTACATATATATCAAACGCTGTCCCTAATCTTTGGTAGTTTGTTTTCTCTCATCATCATCAGCCAACTTGACAACCATCTCAGCTCCTCTATTCACTTCCCTTCATTCTTTCAGAGGTGAGTCTTTATCGGACCCTTTCCGCAATATGTCGAGACTCTGATCCATTCTAACAAGAAAATTAGCTGTGCTCTTTGACCTTTATTACCTTTATCCATAACAATCATTTTCGAGGTGAGAATCACATCTCTACTGCGCAGTGTCCGGAGCTACCGCTAATTTCGTGCCTGCCAGCTGGTCTCTGCATTCATTCAAGCGTCATTATCCTTTACACCTCAAGATACCCACACATTCGCACAGCCAATAGCCACCATATTTCCTCACCCAGCCCTCCCGTCGTCACCATGAAGTTCTCCGCCATCACCTCGGTCCTCTGCCTCGCCACCTCGGCCGTCCTCGCTGCCCCTGCCGCCCCGGCCCCCGTGACCGAGCGCGCCACCCTCTCCCTCGACGCCTTCAACAACTTCCGCTTCGCCAACCTGGACCTCGCCTACCTCCAGGCCGTCAACGGCCTCGACCTCCAGGCCCTCGCCAACCTGCAGCTCCGCAACAACCTCGACCTCGCGGTGCTGCAGGGCCTCTTCCGCGACGACGTCTTCAGCGTCGACCGCCTCCTCCAGCTCCAGCAGGTTGCCCTGCTCTCGCAGCTCTCGGCCGCAGGCGCGTTCCCTGCCGGTCTCGACCTCTCGCGCCTCCAGCTCGCGGGCGCGGGGCTCAAGTTTGCCCAGCTCGGGCTCGTCGCCGGGTTCCCGCTCGGCTCGCTCATCGACCAGCGAGTGCAGCCCCAGCTCAAGGTCATTGTTCAGCAAGCTCGTAAGTCCTCTCTCTCTCCCCCCTTGGATTGCATATTTCCCATTCTTTGCTTCACCGACAGTTCCCTAGCTAAACATATATCTCTCTCTCCCAACAGCTCCCATCACGATCATAATCTAAGCTATACAGACAACATCTCCGTCGTGAGGAACCAGTAGTGTTTCCCCTTTTTGCAAAAGGAAGCAGAGGGCGGCAAAGGTGTAACGGTATCTACTTTTCTAAAGAAACAGCGATGCGAGTTTTCAGCTGCATAATATCCCTTTTTCAGATTTAGGATATCTCTCCCACCTAGGGGTTAGTTTGGCGACGATACAATGATATTTGCCTTTTTCTTTGATGGCACATGGATTGCTCTTGTGATTTTTTTATTTTTTTTCTCTGTTCACGTCGAGGGTGTGTGGGTTTAAATTTAAAACTGAAATAAGGAAAGCTGGGATAAGGGTTTTGCGTCGAGACTTTATGGCAAATAAAGATTAAGAGGAACACTACTAAAGGTCGTTGATGTTTGCTTCGCGACGCATGTGATATATTTTTTGAGCTCTCTTGGAAACGCAACAACACTGACCATGATGAAGGGGGAAAAAAAAGGTTACCAACAGATTACAAAATGTGCTAGAAAGATGAACCTGTGAGGGGCAAGAATAAGTGAAAACCGCAGTGGCGTCCGCATAGCTTGGTGGGTGAAGAGAGCGACACTGGTAATAGCTAGGTATCACGACGGCGGAAACCCTTCTCCGTGCTCGTGTTTCCACCTCCTAGCATGCATGCATTTATAGAGGTAATTTTTTGGGTTGATCTCAATGATGACAACGACAACGGCGACGGACGCAGCGTCACTCGCATATCCCGCATTGCAGGAGCGGCTCTCCCAGACACTCAGACTCAGACTAACAGGTTTACTAGCCTGCCGGGGTTAGGGAGGTCTAGATTACAAGAGGATTATGGGTGAGTCGTTGTACGAGCCTTGCTATATCGGCAATCTCATGGTTTTAATTGGGTTTGGTAATACTTGTTGACCGCACGAGGTAGTTTTGTAAGGGGTTTGGAGGCTGGGTGAGGCTCTCTCTTTCTCTCTCTTCCTGGCTCATTATGATCGCTGTGACTGGCCACAACGGAGCTTTCGTCTATGGGTTTGATGACAAGCCATCCGATTATTTCGATTATATTTTTATTGCTGAGCCAAAAACGACTCGTGTTTCTTGGTGAACTAGAATGGGGATGTGAACATTGACGAGTCCGCACGAATCATCTTCTGGATTTAATAATCTTGCTACAGGTTCAAAGAAGGCACGCAATTTTCTGGAAGGAAGTAGCCTTTGAGTGTTCGTCAGAATTTTAGCATTGGGGCGATCTCGGACCCGTCCGGCTGACTTTGCGGGACTGTGTCGAACTTTGGAACTCCCTTTCCGCTATGGGCAGTGGTTTGATGAGTATTTTCTGCACTACACTGAGCCCGGTTTTGTCTAATTGGTTTGGATCTTGACAAGGTCGGCCATCCTCAACAACATGTGGTGAGGTGGCCGAGTTGGTTATGGCGTCAGGTTAAGGTTACCTTAACAGAGTAGTTATCCTGATGGGGAAACCCGCGCGAGTTCGAGTCTCGTCCTCATCATCGTGTACTTTTTGCTCGGCTTCTGGGTCCGGTCCGACGTGGTTTGGGCGAGGAGTGAATTTTTTTCTTCCATCTTGCTAACAAGGGTTTGCCGGGGTTGGGAGCCGGGCTGGCCTGTCGGAAATGTGGGGCGGCTGTTGCATACTCCCCGCCGCAACCCTACTTAGTATGGAGTACAGGTATGTCGGCCATTTGCCTTGGCGTATAACTTGAATTGTTTATTCTTGAATCCGGTTGTTGTCAAGGCTTCGACAAGGCCGAAGGACCACTTGGGAGTCCCGAGGATGACCGCCGGACAGCGCCCGGGAGTCCGTGTTGCCATTAGGTAACTGAGTGGAGCCAATCAGAATCTGATCCGTCTCCCAAACTGGCACTGTACCAGTCAGCGTTAGCAGCACCCTTTTTGTGTTGTTGAAAAACAAAGGGCGCGGCCAGTTCTCTGCTCTGCTGTGACAAGAGTGCAGCAGTGTGCTGTCAGTCAGGGAAATGGCCGGACCTCTGTAACATCGTGCTCGTCATCACCACCGAGTTTCCGCGTACCGGTAATGCAACATGCCAGAAATGGCAGCCAAGCGACAACAAAGACCAACTAGAGCCGCCAAGGACAGGGCGGCTGAAGTGCGTGTGCCGGAGCCGGCCGGCCGCGCTCTGGGTCTTTGTTCTTTTTCTTCTTCTTTTGCCTGACCCCACTCTTGACCCGGCCCGGGGTAGTCCAGGGGGCGAGGAAAGAGCCAGCAAGGCCGCCTCCGTCGCTCTTCCCACCCAACGGGCAGGGCAGTACGGAGTACATAAAGACTGCCCTCCGACGCCCTGCATCAGCGCTGCCGGCTCCTTTGCTCCGTCTCTCCAACAACTTGCACCCTCGCGGCCTGTACCACAAGAAAGCACAGTCCAGTCCTACCAGACCCAGTCCTGGATCCCGCCTCGAGAGACGCGGTCAATCCATGACACAAGGTCTCAACCATGCAGATGACAGCTGCCAAGTGAACCAAACTGTCCCGGCGGGCTCGCGTGTCGAGGCACCGCCGGCGTCCGTATCTCACCACCACCACCAGACGCAGCTATCGGCAGCGTTGGTCAGCAGCAATGCCGCCGTCAACAACAGCAATGAAAAAAACGATGACGACGACTTCCCTGAGGGCGGTCTGCAAGCCTGGCTCGTCGTCTTCGGCTCCTTTTGCGCCATGGTCTCCGTCTACGGATTGATCAACTCGGCCGCCATCTTTGAGTCGTACTTTTCCAACAATCAGCTCCGCGGCTACGACAGCTCCACCATCGGCTGGATCTTCAGCGTCTACCTCTTCCTCGTCTTCTTCGCCGGGATCCAGGCAGGCCCAATATTCGATGGCTACGGCCCCCGCTGGCTCGTCCTCGTCGGCAGCATCATGGTAGTCGCTAGCCAGATGCTCCTCAGCATCTCCACAGAGTACTACCAGATCCTCCTGACCTACTCGGTCCTTGGCGGCCTCGGCGGCGCCCTCCTCAACGTGCCCGCTTACGGTGTCATCGCCCACTTCTTCAAGGCCCGCAGGGGCTTGGCCACGGGCATCGCCGCCACGAGCGGCTCCATTGGCGGCATTGTCTTCCCCTTCCTGTTCCAGGCGACCTTCCCGCGCCTCGGCTTTGGCTGGAGCACACGCATCAGTGGCTTCATCCTCCTGGTTCTTGCGGTCCCCGCCAACCTGCTCGTACGCTCGCGCCTCACGCCGACCAAGAAGAAGCTTAAGTTGCAGCAGCAAGCAGTCGTGGCGAGCAGCGGCGAGCACGGCGCTGCCGCCGTACCGGCCGCCCCCAAGAGCAGCGTGATGCCCGACTGGTCCCTGTTCAAGGATTCCAAGTTCCTGCTCTGCTGCCTCGGCCTATGGTTCATGGAGTGGGGCATCTTCATCCCGCTGACATTCATCGTCAGCTACGCCGCGGACCACAAGGCTGCCACCACTTCTTCCGACCATAATGACACAGCCGGCTCAGCATACACCCTGCTCGCCCTCCTAAATGTGGGGTCTTTCTTCGGCCGGTTTCTGCCCGGCTTCCTCGCCGATAAGATCGGCCGCTTCAACGTCATTGTCGTCACCAACGGCCTCTGCGCCGCCACGATCCTCGGCCTCTGGCTGCCGGTCGCTTGGGTCACCCCTGGCCCGGGCGCCGACGCCCTGCTTATAGTGTTTGTCGTCGTCTTTGGCTTCATGAGCGGCAGCAACCTCGGCCTCTTCCCCGTCTGCATTGGCCAGCTGTGCGAGGCCCGCGACTACGGTCGCTTCTACTCGACGGCCCTTATGCTCGGCAGCTTCGGCACGCTAACCAGCGTTCCCATTGGCGGCGCCCTGCTCAGTCTCGGCGGCCGGGTCGCGGGTGGCGGCGGGCACGGTGGCGGTGGCAGCTCGGCGAGCGAGCAGGGCTGGAACGCCCTTATTGTGTTTGCCGCGCTGTCATACTTTATCGCAATGAGCTGCTTTATGGCGGCACGCGTGCTCGCGACGAGCTGGCGGGTCAAGGAGATCTTTTAGAAATGTGATCCGGTGCAAGGTTGAATTTTTTCTCCACGGTTGTCCGTCTTGGCTAGAATCTTTACCGTTATACACCAATGCGGAGTAAACGTATATGGAGAGTTAGAGCTTCACGCTCTTGTGTGGACAAGAAAGTATATCTAGAATATCTGACAGAAAGGCAAGATAAAAGAGGAGGAAGGTTAGAATATAGATTAATCACAAAAGGGATTGAAGCGTGAGCAAAATATATAAAAATTGTGGACACTTCTTGGTGAAGTCTTCTTGAACCAGAAGAAGTATTACAACCCCGTGTCGTAAAGCAAAAGTTCAACACCTTAATCTGCAGAAAAACGAAATTCATATGTAACTCGTCTTCAAAATTTCGTCCTGTGGCCAATTGCACCAAACCATGGGATGCGGACAACGTTGTTTGCTGACTTGATCCAAGATCGCAGGGAAGCTCCCACTCTAAATGGCTCCTGTTTTAAAAACTCTTGCTCGTAATAAAAAGACGCCATGTCTATAGGCTTACACCAGATTACCTCCTTTCGTGCACCAGTCTGCCCTTGACCCAGACCTTGCTCGTGTTTCTATCGTCGCCGTTGTATAGCCACTTGGCCATACGCTCTTCCCAGCTCTCCCAACCAAAGATGTCTACCTTGCCACCTTCGAGTATGTTCTCGCTGTGGCTCTCGGAACCGTTTTCAGCCTCTCCATCCTCTACCTCTGGCACCATGTTGAGCCTGATAAGCTGCGCGTCCCACTCCTTGCCAACGTCAAAACCGCCTATTCTGTCTTGTAGGCCGACGACTTCTGCGCCCCCACGCGTGGCGAGGTGAAGGACCTCCTCGACGCTCAGCTTCACTTTGTTACGCTCTGCGTCCGAGGTGCCTGCGGGCCACCGGTGGCCGGGCATCGCCACGTGGTTCGACACGAGGCTGGCTAACCGCGCGGCCTCGAGGATGCTGGGGCTATAGCCACCGCTCATGTCGGTGCCCAGACCGACGCTGATCCCCTTGCCGAGCAACCACCGGACACGGCACTCACCGCTAGTAATGGAGCTGTTTGAGCAGGGGCAGTGAGCGACCTTGGACCGCCGCTGCGATATCAGGTCTGCCTCTGCGTCTGATAGGTGGATTGCGTGCGCTAGGATCGTCTTATCCGTCAGAAGGCCGTGCTGGTCGTACACGTCGGTGTATGTATCGATGCCCGGAAACAGGTCCTTTACAAGGTCGATCTCATTGGTATTCTCGGATATATGTGTCTGTACCGGCAAGTTGGTTTCTGTCTGAAGCTTGCCGAGGTCCGTCAGGCTCTGCCCTGTGCAAGACGGGGCAAACCGTGGTGTGATTATGGGGCTGATGAGGGCGTAGCTCGGGTCGATCGCCTGGATGTGTTCTATGCACTCCCGGGTGCGAGACACGGACAACTCTGCAGACTCGTCCAGATAGTGGTCGGGACCCAGCCGATCCATGCACACGCGGCCCACAAATGCCCGCTGGCCGAGGGACAGGCACAGGTCTGCAAGGAGGTTTGTCGCCGGGACGTGGATAGTGGCAAAGTAGGAGGCCGTGGTGGTACCGTGGGCGAGAGACCTGCGGACGCACTGCGAGTAGACCCTCTTGGCCTTTGGGAGGCAGCTCATGGAGGACTCCATAGGGAAGGTGTAGGTGTTGAGCCAGTCGAGCAGGGTCGACTTGCCAAAGATGCCGACATTGGGATACTGTGGCGCGTGGACGTGGGTGTCGATGAAACCTGGGAAGAAGAACTGGCCGGGGCCGGATGCCGTGAAGGTGACATTGTTCTTGTCCCAGCCGAGCTTTGGGATAAGTGTCTGCTCGGCCGTGCTGCGGTCACAGTCGGGCTGGACAGCGACGATCTTGCCAGAGCTGTCGACACATATTGCCGTGTTGTGCAGGTAGTCGAGCTGGCCAAGGGCGACGCTGTGGACAAAGGAGCCCAGGAAGATCTGGGGGCATGCGGGCGGCGACATGTCGGCAAGACTGCTCCTGTCTGTACGACAACACTAACGGAGAATGAGATATGATCAGAGTACGTGTTGAACCGGTACGACGTGGGATGTTGGTCCCTGCTAGCGAGCCTCGGAAGATATTTGACTGATGCGCCGTGAAGATACAGCAGCGAAGCAATGGGCGAGTGGCTGAGCGGTTCTATGAGTGGCCAAACCGAACAAGAAGCTCAAGAGTCCCTCTCGACAGCCAGACGTGACGTCGAGGCCGTCTATTTAAGGTCGTCGAGGTTGCGGCAGGGGGTTATCGGTTGCTCCGCCCAGTCGGTATCTGCGTGTAGGCGTGGCGGGGGGCGGGCCCGGCGGAGATCGGAGGTTTGTGGGGGTCGCATCGCGGCAGGGCGCGGCATTGTACCTGACGGTGTAGAGCATGGCGGTGTGTGTGATGACTGGTGAGTTCGGCGTGTCCAGTCGTGTTGACGTGGCTTGAATCACCAATGTCTGGACTGGACTGGACTGTTGCTGACATGTCATCCAACTGC